AGGTGATGTACTGATGTTTTTTATTCAAAGGTATCCAAAGACCTGGACCGAGGCACTGCTCCAGTATCCACATAGCAGCCAGATCTCTAGGCCACACTCTGGTGACAGTGAGCGTGAGTGGACATGAGGAGCACGTGGACAGCACTGCCACATTCGCTGCCTATGAACCGCTGAAGGTAGGACCTGCCATAGTATAGCACTGTCGTTCCTTCTCAAGGACCCGACTGGGTGCAGCTTGCAGAGACCAGCTCTCTCTGGTCTCTGCTCAAGACAGGTGACAATTTTGTGTCTTCCTCTTGTAGTATTTAGATCCTGGGCATCAAACCTGTGGTACTCAGATGCAAAGCAAGCACTGGCCTACTATTTGGGTTTTTTTGTTGTTGTTGTTTTGGGGTGTGTATGTGTGTGTGTTTGTTTGGTTTTCTGAGACAGGGTCTTTCTGTGTAGTTAAAGCTGACCTTGAACATACTTTATAGCCCAGGCTGTCCTCAAACTTACAGTGACCTCCTACATTAGCCTCTAAGGGGTGCGATTACACCCATTACTTTTTCTTTTTTCTTTTTTCTTTTTTTTTTTTTTTTTTGTGGTACTCAGGACCCTGCGCTTGCCAGGTAAGCGCTTATTCTATTGAGCTATCTCCCTGGCCCCACTATTTTTTTTTTTTAATGCCTAAAGTCTCTTGTAAAAGCTCAGTTTGAAGTAGTTGACTCTCTCATGCTTCTACCTGTGCTTCCTGAATTAAAATATTAAGGAATATCTTCAATTTGCATCACTGAATTTTAGCTCCTCTTCCCTCTCTTCTCCTCCTCATCTTCTTCCTCCCCTCACTATTCTTCTTCCTCTTCCTTTTTGTCTTCTTCGTCTTATTCTTGTGGCACTTGAGTTTGAACCCAAGACCTTCTCTTTCTTATTTATTTGTTTGGGTTTTTTTGCTTTGTTTTGAGACAGGGCCTCATTATGTAGTTCAGGCTGGGTTTGAGCTCACTTTGTAGCCCAGGCTGGCCAGAACTCACAGTGATCCTCCTACCTCCGCCTCCTGAGTGCTGGAATGACACATGAGCACCACAGCATTCGCTCTCTTTTTTTTCACTGAGGTATAAAATATATGCAGTAATGTGTAACTGCTGTTTTCTACATGTCTATATATCTCTACAAATATGAAGATATTGAATATTAGCATACTCCCTTTTGAAGAACACCGAAAGATGCCTTCTCTGCCCTATAGAGGGAAGTCAGTGTCTTTTATGGACTTAGGGGTCTTCAGTAGAGTAGCCATTCTGCTTAGCCCTAAGGTTTGGTCCATTATAATCAAAAGTATGACAAATGGTTTCAGAATACAAGTCGGTAGAGCTTGGCATGCTTTCTACAGATCTGATTCTGTCAGGAGCTAAAATTAGTGTTTAAAAAATAAATAAAATAAAAATTCATGTTTATGGGCTGACCAAATAGCTCAGTGGATTAAAGCACCTGCAAGCAGGCGCAGGGGCCAGGGTTTTCATCCCCGGGCCTGCCATGCAGGCCCCACCCCCCAGGGCGGGCTGAGACTGGGCGTGGTGGCACATGTGTCATCCCAGCTTTTGGGAGGCTGTAAACAGGTGGATCACTAGGAATCTGATCTAGTAGAGAGACTCTGAACACGCTGTAGACCCTTCCCTAAAATAAAAAATAATAATAATAATTCATGTTTACAAGTTCTTGTTAGAGTCCACATCTTGTTGTTTTTTTTTAAATTTATTTATTTATTTGTGTGTGTGTGTATGTGTGTGTGGCCAGCTCAGCCCACCAGGGGGCAGGGCTGGCTGGCATGTGGTGCTGGGGGATTGAACCGCAGTCCCTTTGCTTTGTTAAGCTTGTTCTAAGTAGGTGCTTTAGACCACTGAGCCATCTCACCAGCCCCAGAGTCTGCATCTTGTACAGCAATTAACCACTAGGAAGAATGTATGCAATGTGTTAATTATTGAAACTGTCCTACCAATTTGGTTTGAAATTGTCTCATTGCTATTTGTTTCTCAATAAAATTATGGGGAAAAAAAAAAAAAAACAAGTTCTTGTTAGATACTGAGAAATCCAGACTCAATGCCTCTAGGAATAAGGAATGAATTAACACTAATGAAAGAAGCAAGATAAGCTATTACTTTTTTTAAGTTTTGAGGTGTACTTTGTTAGGAAAAGTAAAAATAAGAGATAATGTTGAGTGTGGTAGTGCATGGCACTAATCCCAGCACTTGGGATGCTGAGGCGGGAGGATTGCTTCAAATTTAAGCCAGCCTGGGCTGTAGAAGCAAGTTCAAGGTCAGCCTTCATGGTGAGACCCTGCCTCAAAACAACAGTAACCACCACCATCACTAAGTTACATGACACTGCCTGGCTATGGCTCATTATAGTCCCATTAGTTCTTCCTTTTTTCCTTCTTCCCTTCTTCCCTTCCTTCCTTCCTTTCTTCTTTTTCTTACTTTCTTATTTATTTGTTTATTACTGAAGACTGAACTCAGGCCTCTCCGCTGAGCTACAACCCCAGACCTTCTATTATTTTGAGGCAGGGCCACACTAATTGCCCAGACTGGCCTTGAACACACCATACTCCTGGCTCTGTCTTCTGGAGTATTGGGATTACAGGTGTACACCATTGTGCCCAGCTATATTTTTTCTTAATTTTATCCTTAGTTTTATTTCATATTTACGGAGTGTTCCCAAGTTAGATCTCCTCTAAATGTGAAATATGCTTAAAAGAAAGGAAAGGATGATTTCCTTTCTCCACCTAACATTTTAGTCATGCATCTTTCCTCTTACCTACTTTAAAAACATGTAAAATTATGTATGTCTTGGAGCTGAGGTTGGGGAAGAGGCAGAGCTCTTGCCTGATATGCTCATGGCCCTGGGTTTGCTCATTAGCATCACAAGATCACAGTTTTTAAAAAGAAAAAGTGTTGGGCTGTACATCTAAGAAAAAGGAATAACTGCTGTTGGGAGACCCTCCATGAAAGTCTTTGCCAGGTTCATTTTTTTTTTTCTATTTCTTTCTTCTGTGAAAGAGATATATAGCATTCTGTATTGTTTTAGTACTTGTACTCTGGGAGAGGATACTTGGAATTTTCTTTTTTTTTGAGACAAGGTCTGGTCTGTAGTTCAGGCTGGCCTTGAATTCACTCTGTACCCTGGGCTGTCCTTGAACTTGAGGCAATCCACCTGCCTCAGCCTTCTTAGTGCTAGAATTATAGACATGCACCATACCTGATTTATTTACTTTTTCTTTTTTTTTAAGATAAGGTCTCACTAAATTGTCCAAACTGGCCTGGAACTTGTGATCCTCCTGCTTCAGCCTCCTGGATAACTGAGTAGCTGAGATTACAGACATATATTGCCATGCTCTATTTATTTATTTATTTATTTTTAATTTTATTTGTTTTATTTGTGTGTGTGTGTGTGTGTGTGTGTGTGTGTGTGTGTGTGGCCAGCTCAGCCAACCAGGGGGCGGGCTGGCTGGCATGTGGTGCTGGGGGATTGAACCGTGGTCCCTGTGCTTTGCTAAGCTTGTTCTAAGTAGGTGCTTTAGACCACTGAGCCATCTCACCAGCCCAATTTATTTAGTCACCAGCCCAATTTATTTAGTTATTTAAACAATACCTTTTAGTGTATTGTGTTCTGCTGAAGAGAATAATTCAATAAAAAATAAGGTAGATGGGCATATCTGGGAGCAATGGCACACACCTGCAATCCTAGCACTAAGAAGGCTGAGACAAAAGGATCACCAAATTCAAAGCCAGCTGGGACATTTACCAAGACTCTCTTTCAAAATAAAAAGTAAAAGGATCTGGGAGTGTAGCTCAGTGATAGAGTGTTTACCTAGCATGCATGAGCCCCTGTTTTCAATTCCCAGTATCACACATAAACGCCAGAAGAGATACTTTCTCCTCTTAAAGAGTTTATGTAGCAAATAGCAGAATAGATAGTGGAAAGGATATAGATGTGGTTACTGCTTGAAAAGACTGGAACCAAAGTAACAGATTAGGTAATACATCAGTTACACTTGAATGGTCAATAGGATTGACATTAGCACAGAGGTTGAGAAGTATTCCAAGAGGAGAGCATCACATACATGTCTCTTAATGTGGGAAAGCCTAACATCATTTCAGTGTACTCAGATAACTAGTTTTTCGCTAAGTGTGCTGGTGCCCGCCTATAATTCTGGAGGCTGAGGCAGGAGGATCACAGTGAGTTGTACGTCAGCCGGAACTACACAATGAGGCCTGGTCTCAAAAAACTAAACACAAACAAAAAGTAGTTTTTTCACCTAACAAACCATAGAGCCAAGCACTGTGTATATGCATGTAGTCTTGACCTACTCTGGAGGGTGAGGCAGGAGGATCCTACTTCTAGCAGTTCAAGGCCAGCCTGGACAGTATGGTGATACCCTGACTCAAGAAGAAGGGAACATGAAAACAGACCACTCTTGAATTCCCTTAGCAGTCAGGGATTAATTTCTCTTAACTCTTTTTGTTGTTGTTATTGTTGTTTTAATTTCTTTAATTCTTATCAGGCTCTAAGTCCCCTGGAAGTGGCGTTGGTAACTTGGCATTCTATGAAGGAAATGGTGTTTGAAGGAGGGCCTCGTCCGTGGATCTTGGAACCTTCCCGATTTTTTCTGGAGCTGAGTGCAGAGAAGACAGAGACCGTTGAAATAGCAGAAGTCCGGCTTCCAGCTAAGAGGAAACAGAACCAGTACAAATACCGAGTCCTGTGCCTAGATTTAGGAGAACAAGTAGGAAGATGGTCTTTTGCTATGATTCCTTTTAGTATGGTAACACTCCAACTTTTTTGTACTTCAAGCCACTCCTTTCCAGATTCCAGTGGATTAGTTTATGAATTAGATAAGAAAATCATAAGTATAAGGATTTTTTGCAAGGGGTGGGTATTGAGGATTGAACTCAGGACCTTGTGCTTGCCAGGTAGGTGCCTATGCTGCTGAGCTATCTCCCCAGCCCATAAGTATAAGGATTTAAAAAATATTACTATTCTTTAAGTGTACCTAGTGAGGCCTGGCATGGTGATGCATGCCTGTAATCTCAGCATTCAGGAGCTGAGGCAGGAGAATCACTGTGAGTTTATGGCCAGTCTGGGCTACGTAGTGCAAATCCAGCCTGAGCTACATAGCAAGGCCCTATCTTTAAAAAAAACAAAAAACAAAAAACCTCACTTAAATAAATGCTCCTAATGGTTTCTTTTCAGTTTGCTCATCTGAGAATTCTAACAGTTCACTAACTAAACAGTTCGAGATCATTTTACAGTGATGAGCTTATTTCACATTATTTCCAGTCATTTTATTACTATCATTTATTTACTTGCCTAAACTAGAGGATATTTGCTTTCTTATTTTCAAAGAATTCTAAAAAGGAAAATGTTACGGAGTCCTCTATGGATAGCAATTTTGAAGAGCCAGTTAGATTTGCACTGATAATAGGAATGAGTATTTTACCCTGTATCTGTTGAATTAGCTTTCTTTTTAGAGGTAATTCCTCTAGTTTACAACTATGGCCTGCCCTTAACAAAACTGGTAACCAGTGATCCAGGTGTGGTAGGGTAGCACTTTGGAGGCTGAGGCAGGAGGATCACCACAAACCTGAACCAGCCTGGGCTATATAGTGAGTTTAAACTCAGCCTGAACTACCTGGGAAAACCCTGTCTAAGAAAAAAAAAATATTTAAAGGGATTTTCTACAGTGGAGTTAAATAATTCTGACACATTTATGTCGGCATGACTGACATCAGATATCTCTATCAACTGCTACCTTGTGCTCTGGTCTTTCTTTAAAGGCTCTCACATTCCGAATTGGAAATCACCCAGGTGTTCTGAACCCTCATCCAGCTGTGGAAACGGTGCAGGTGCATTTCGTGTGTGCCCACCCTGCCAGCGTGTCAGTGACACCAGTGTACATGCTGCCAGCTGGGGCCCAGCCATGTCCTCTGCCACAGCACAGCACACAACTGGTAGGTACCCTGTAGATGGAGAATTAACTCAGCTTTGTTGTCATTCATGTTTTAGAGATCAGAGGCCTGAGGTATAGCTCTTGTATCATTAAAATTAAGGGAACTGTTTCATTTTTACATATTCTCCAATAGTTTCTGAGTTAGAACTGGCCGTACTTACTGATAATGACCTTGCTTACTGTACTAAAATATGTAGTTTGTTATATGGCAGTTGACATTTGAGAGCTCTCTCAGTAGCTTCCAAGTAGTTTTGCTGATACCCTTTCCTACTAAATCTTTTCTGTTTTTTGAGAAAGATTGTCTCCCTGTGTAGTCCTGCTCAGCCTTGGGCTGTCTTCAAATTCTTGGTCTTCCTGCCTCAGTCTCCCAAATGCTTTGATTACAAGCCATGTACCACCATGCACAGCTCCTACTAAATCTCTTATTAGCATTATTAGTAAGTGTTGTGGTTTGTGTCTAGGTGTCCCCCCCAAAGCCTCCTGCATCTAGGAGGCAGCTTCTGTAGTTGGTGATTGATTCTTGATTCAATGCTGGGATTATGAGTGTGAGTGCCCTGGGGCAGATATATCTGCAGTACGATGTGAGGAGGGGAGAGAGGCCAGCTAGCTGCCTGAGCTGCTGCTTCCTCCCTGTGCTGGTGCTCTCTGCTCTTTGCTGCCACTGTGGTTGCTGTCTGCCATGTGCCACCTGCCTTGGAGCCAGCTGAATATGGACTGAAACCTCCACTGACTATGAGCTAAATAAACCTTTTCTTCATTTTGGATGTTGGATATTTGTCCCAGCACTTAGAGAAGAGTAAGTGAGACAGTAAGTAATAAAATTTACCTCTACTCTAAGCCTACTCTGAAGAATGCTGTAGCACAGCTATTAAATAAGTAACAGGGACTGAGGGTTAAATGAGTTGGCTAACATAGAAACTAGAACATGAGACTATATGATAAGCTTGAGCTACCAAAAGGTATTCTTTGCCCTGTGCAGAGTCCAACAGTAAATTTTCCCACTTTTACAGGTGAAGAAATTGAGACTCTTAGAAGTTGAGTAAATTTCTTAAAGTCATTAGCTAGATAATAGTATGTTTTGCTGTCTTACTCCAAAGCATGCTAATTTTATACTATATTGCCCTTCCTGGTGAAAGAACAGAATGAGATGTTATAGGTAAGGAACACATCTTTTTTTTTCAAAATCAAATTGCACATTAAATGTTATTTGAAATATATGAATGATTCACTTTTTGTTGTTGGTTTTTTCATTTTGTCATCTTGAGACAAGGTTTTGCTGTATGCTTAAGCACGCTTGCTATGGTCTCTAATTCAGCATCTCCCTGCCTCAGCTGCTCAGTGCTAGGATTACACCACCAGACTGAGGTAGGAATGCACCCTGAAAGTTCAAGGTCAGCCTGGGCTACTGTACAGTGAGTTCAACCCCAGCCTGAACCATACAGCAAGACCCTGTCTCAAATAAATAAATACATATATATGTAAATAAGAAATTCCTATATAAACTACAGTGAAAATGTAAACAAAACTACCACAGAAATAATCTTTGCTTCAATTATCATGCCTAAGGCAGTCTGTACACATGAGAACAGCGTGTTTTATGAACAAGTCTCGCTTACATTGAAGGCACGTGTGCTTAACTCTCCTTTCCTGCTTGGCAGCCATACTTATCCTCTCTCTTGTGTTCTTCTTTTGTCAGGAGCTTCCTATTATATAATGTCCACTTAGCTGAAAAATGAAATACCAATAAAACAAAATACCGAATACATAGTGAGTGTTTAGAATAAATACTTTCTACATCAACTGTCTGCTTACTAAATCTAAAAAATAACAGCAGAAATACATTTCTATGTGAACTGCAATGAAAATATAAATAAAACTCTACCACAAAAAATAATCTTTACCTGCTTAAGTAAGCACAGGGACTGGGGTTTGATCCCTGGCACCATATACTGCTCCAGCCCCGCCCCTGGGCCTTCTGAACTGGCCACCAAGACCTGGCATGGTGGTGCACACCTGTAAACCCTGGGGAGGCTGAAAACAGGAGGATCACTACGAGTCCAAGCTGTGTAGTGAGACCTTATACCAAATACATAAAATAATAATAATAATAATAATAATAATAATAAACTTCAGTTACCACACCTAAGTTTTCCCACATTAGAACAACATGCTCCACATATAAGTATCACTTACACTGATAGCACGTGTGTTTTATTTTCCTGTCTTCTTTGGTAGGACATACTTGCATACTTGACATCTTCCTTGTCTTCTTGTTTTCTTAGGAGGTTCTTGCGATGTTTCATCTGTTTATCCATCAGTCTGCTCCAGAATTCTTCTGAGGAATTCTTTGCCAGATACATACTATTCTTCCTCCATTGTAATTGATCAGTTATCAATTCCAGTCCCAATCCTCTAAGAAAATTTCTCCATCATATTCTTCCTTCCTTCCTTTCCTCCTTCCTTCCTTCCTTCCTTCCTTCCTTCCTTCCTTC